TTGAGCAACGAAATACATAAACCAATCAGAGTTTGACCAATCAGATTTGAACAACGATATACAACACCCAATCACATTTAAGCTACCGAAACCATGGGCTATAAAAGCATAGACTGTAATCTAACAACCGTCATTTTATACAGCAACTGCTTTTCTTGGAGGGTGCATAATATTTCACCATGGACAATTGTAACGACTGTACTAAAACTTCTACCAGTAGAAAATCGTTGAGACGACACGTCAACTTGAAACACAAGGGGTAAGTACAGATATCTCAATTATCGATATTTCTTTTTTTTTTTGTAAAAAAATAAACCCTATTGTTTTAATGCATCGTAACATCTGTTATCTTTGTTATTTATACATTTTTCAGGAATACAGCGACATTTTTGGCCACAACACCTACTGCGAATACCCCTCTACAGTTCAAGTCCCCGATAAAAGAATTTACTCAGTTAATATAAACCGTTCCGCCAACTGAAGTAGAAGCATCGACGTTGGACTTGTTCCCCGACGAACAAATCGAACCACAACAATTTGCCAACGCCGAAAGTGAAGCACGACAACCATAACAACTGTTTCCTGACGATCACATTGAAACTGAGGGTTAACAAACGAATATACCTGTCAACAACGTCAACACTCAGTAGTAGGACAATTTACAGGAACCAAGCGAAAAAGAAAAGATCGACGGAACCTCATCAAAACTAAGGTTACCTACAACTTAACGACGAGGCCTACCCACACTGTGTGAATCCGTACAAGTCCACAGGTTGGGGAAGGACTGTTTTGTAAAACTGTTCCTTATCCCTCGCACCCTTACTCTGATAAAGGAATGTATTTCCCTCAATCTTTCCCCGGCTACTGTATGACGCATGAAAACGTTGGACGGTAACATACACGATGCCATAGACAGATTCGTCGCTGGAAAGGACATAATTTTGTTTAGCCATCTTGGTGACAACATTTACTTTTCGGTAAACAAACCGTACATTTGTGTAGACATTAGAAAGTTTCACGGCACCTTTTTGGAATACTATCAACTATCCAGTGTATTGAAGAAGTTTTAACTTAGCCCTGTACTTCCATGTTGAGTTACTTTATTAGATGTTACAGGAATTGGCGTTTTCGTAAGACAGTGCGTGCAAATCCACTTTGAACAACATGTTATTAGCTATTAACTTGATTACTTAAACATAGTATTTCACATGTTTCTCGACGAAAGAGTCACGTATTATAGAGTTAAAGTACTGTTATTATTTGGCTTGAGTAACATACTGAAAGATCCATCAAGAGTACATCAACAATTTTCAAAAGTTATTTCCTTAGTTTGATTTGACTGATTGCTAGCATTGATTTAAAAACAAAAGTTTTTAGTTGGAAAATATCGAATTCTTTTTTATACTGGTAATCTATAAACGCGTTACAATCACTGCACTGAGCAACGACACATCATGTATAAGCTTAAGATGAAGACAATGTACAATATTACGTGAAAATCTGCGAAAGTATGCAATAAATGAAATCGGTTTCCAATTTTGACAAAAGAATAACAAAAACAAAAATTCGGTTGATATGATCTGTTTATATTTCTTGCTATTAACATTCAAATCGTTTCTTTTCATTTCATACTTCCCGTTTTTAATTCTATAGTACCATACGTGGACATTTGTGGACAAAATGTGGACAAGTGTGGACAAAACGTGCACAAATGTGGACAAAACGTGGATAAATGTGGACAAATGTGAACTAAACGTAGACAAATGTGGACAACACGTGGACGAAACGTGGATAAATGATGACCAAATACAATACAGAATCAGCAACATCTGCATATTTTTATCACAAAAAAGATTATTTCGTATTTGTTTTTATATTTTGTATAAGGTTAGTCTCAAAATTCAACATTTCATATTGACTCATTTATCTATCTATCTATTAATATAACCTTAGAAAAATCTCTTAAAAAATAGTTTCAAATACAACCCTTAAAATTAAAAACAAAAAGCGTATAGAAAAAATTCCGATGATAGTATGAAGGATTCTATACATGAAAAAAATGACATCGACGCGCATGGAACCCCCGTCCACACACCCCGTACACTAACGTTCTACCACTGCGCCATGCGGACCTGAGTTAAGAGCGGATTTTGTTGGTCCGATATCGATCGATGAAAGTGACGTCACGTTCGACGACCGTGAAGTCATCTAAGCTTCCCGTACGACTCTGACAAGCTCAGAAATTGACGACACACTCTTCATCACCGAACAGGACAAACTTATACATTCCATCCAACTTACTCCACCAACACCAACACAAATACGACAGCATGCATACATGTACAGGAAGGAACGACAAAACATATCAAACAGCAAGGAGCGCATTAGGAAACAACATCGCCAAAGAATGTATAGCCAAAGACGTGCAAGCAGCCAGTTTTATTATACACTACCCTGTAAGTATACTGTCCAAATATAATCACGTAACTTTCTTTTTTTATTATATCGTTAGCTAATGTATTATTATTAATTGTCTACGTATTAACTATTGTTTTAGTTCAAACATGTAGCAACACCACCTGTTACAACACCTCCGATAGCACCACCACACACACTTTCTACACAAAAAACGGTCATCTCAATGTAATACTACACTCGAAAATATTGTAAATATGCTGTGAATTTTATATTGTAAATATGTTGTAGCTATTTATTGTTTGTAAATATGTTTGATGCATAAGATTATAAAGGAAAATGAAAAAAATATGATTAAAAAGAGCAGAAACAAAGCAGAGGGTGCAGTTAGAGGCAGCCAGAGTTGTATCTGGTCTATCCTCTGTCGCCTCTTGTGAGACACATCACGTTCCTTACTAGGAAACCGGATGGGACATTTGAAATCTAGGAGAGAAACAAAAACTTTCTACTTTTTATAAGATGCATTATGTACCAGATAATTTTCATAATTTGCTTCCTTTCAGAAGAAATGATCTTTATCGTGATTTTAGTAATCCCGATAACCATCAATTACCACGCTGTAGATTAGATATTCCTATAGAATTATTTATCCCTTCTACAATAAATTTATGGAATAGACTTGATAATTCTGTAAAACATATCTCGTCATCTTCTACATTCAATATGAAAATATCGCCTGTACCACGCGTTTTACCGAACTACTTGAATGTCGGTAACCGATACCATTCGGCTCTTTTAGCGCGAATTAGACAGGTCTTTAAAGTGATTTATTCCGTGTAGGTATTTGTGGCTCACCTACCTGTCATTGCGATTATGATAATGAAGATGCATATCATTATTTTTTTGTCTGTGCACAATTTTCGTGATGAAGTCACCGAAATTAATTATATAAACTATTTAGTTTGTTGATTGATTCCTGCTACGTACGGTTAATAGAAGAGCAAAGAGCTTGGGACTTGAACGACATCCGAAAGTGAGTTAAGTATAGCAGTACAATGTACATGAAGTATTGATGGTTCCATAGAAAAGACACAATTAGGATACAGGTTTAAATTCAAAGGCATCTGATATGTCCAGTTGTTGTTTTGTTTAATGACGTCATCAACACCTTCATAAGATGTGGATGCTTTAATCCTCACAATCATTTGATGCTGAAAGATCCTCAGTTGCTATACACTGATTGTTAATACGGTTAGTATTCAGAAGGTGTTTCTCTGTAGACGCCGTTTTGTGGATTCTTTGGGTTTTTTATAGTCTTAGCCAATTTTACTGACTTATTTAGAACACGGAAGTATGGACAATGATTTTATCCCGAGTAGAATCTTTTGTGTCATTTAAGTTAATGCAGACCTTTTTACCTTACCTCATAACACGGGGCCATCATTTATCATCAGTATTACACATAACTCTCTTATGCTTTAATTTGTGATTGATGTAAGTTTGAGTGCGCGCTGATGCAGAATTCAGAAAAAAGGGCAAAACTCTTCAGTATGGCTCAGGTCACTCAAGTTATTCGGTAGCTTGTGTGCTTTATGATTCATTGTCGTCTCAAAATAAAAATGCTTAGTTTAAAGGAGAAAATCCCAGTCCGTAAGGTACGCGAGAGCTCCTATTGAGGTTCTGACACTACCAGCCTTGGTTAAAGTACAAAAAGAATACCGGATAAAAGGGCAGCCATGTTTTACCGTTTCTTTTATACTAATTATACACAATATTGCACACAGAGGAGGCCGTCCTTAAATGACCATAGCTGTTGATAGGACATTAAACAATACCAAACCAAACCAAACCTCACATTTTCAGTTATTTCAGTAAATTGAAGAAAAAACATTAACCAGGACAACTGTACGTTGGTTAAATTGTTTTATTAGCAGAAAAAATAATCATTTGATGAGTATGTATCTTATATTGAATAACATCTTTAAAATATAAATAATATTCATTAAGCCATTTCTTAATCAAAAACGTGGTCACAGTTTCCTAAAGACATGCACAATCATTACATACATTTTTGTATTTTACCAATCAAGAACATAAATTTATCGTAATTTGCTTTTTACATTATTTACAAAAATATTGAATATATGATTTTTTAGTAAAACTCATAAACGGAGACGAATTAGCTTTATACAAAAAGACATATAAGAATCCCACAACTGATAACATTTAATTTAAAGGATTTGCACATTTGAAGGCGATACATAATTTATCCTGATCATTGTATATTTATTGGTATATCTGAATTTACCGTACGTTAATTTTGTAGATTTAAACCTTACACTTCTATTGTTTTATATTTCTACCATCAACTTGCCATTTTATGACTTAATAATGTATTGGATAGGTCGACACCATTAAGAATTATCACATAATGTACTGTGCTATCCAGTGAATAAACCCATGTCATAATTTTTGCGTATTAACTCATGTAATATAACCTAACAGTCCTGTGATTGGTTGAAAGTTTCAATTGTTTCAATTGTGACGTCACGCCTAGGACAAGTTCATGACGTCATAGACTTCCGCACTGGAGTCAAAATGACGGCTTTTTACATTTCAAACTTGCATGAAGATTGTTGTTTTACACGAATAAATGCCACACATCTTGATTAGGTGATAAAAATTATCTTACACTCGTAAACATAAATTTCCATTTAATATCAAATTGATGAAACTCGTCACGAATTTTTCATTTTAGCTCGCCAGAGGCTCGCTAAATTGAAAAAGTCTTAGACTCGTTTCATAAATCTCATATGAAATGGAAATTTATGTAAGATCCTTAATGTATGTCGTCGTATACGTCTCTTTACATATGCCAAATAATTATCAGCGATCTCCACCAGTCTAATGTAATATACTAAGCATATGTCGTAACATCTTAAACAATATTTAATCACAGATATTGAATACTAAATAAGTTGTATCAGATTACATTTGGTTAAGATATCTAAAAATCCTGCTGTTGTCTGTCTGTATCGACAGGGAGTTCCAAATTCGTCTGTGTGTGTTGACGTTGTGGTGAACAGATTAAGCTCTATTTCAGGGGCCATCGAATATAACATGTTTCTCTTTGAAACTCATCGTCGACAGGAAAGGACAACGTGAGATACCGTGCAGATGCACAACGTGTAACCAGTGGCTAAAAGTAATTGGTGTAGATACAACGTCAAACAGATAGGACACAAAAGGTGTAGTAGGACGAAGAATAGTGATAAAGATAGTGCTGCCATGGGGCTCGAACCCGTGACCATTAGATCTCAAACCCGATGCTCTACCGCTGAGCTAAAGGGACATTTTCTACAGCTGACGGTTATAAGGCAACCTAATCAATACACAGCTTTTACACTATTTTCCACCTTCCCTTTTCAAACACAACCAGCCCATGTTCTTTGACTCCCCGTCAAGGGTTCTCCCACCTTGAACGGGGAGGGTCAACGGAACCAGTTTGTAGAAGGACGCGGAATAGTTATTAAGATAGTGTTGTCGCTAGGGCTCGAACCTGCGATCATTGGTTCTCCAGCCCAATGCTCTACCGCTGAGTTAATCGGAAAGTCCCTACAGCTGACACTTGTAAGGCATCCTAATCAATGCACATCTTTTACAAAGGCAATGAACAAGACAAAGAAAAACGAAAACTAAAACAAAAATCAAACGATTTTCATTTTCATCTCCAGTGCGTATTGGAAGTACCTGTGTTCACAAGAATGTTTAGAATAATGGGTTCTATCGATGCGTATATACGTGACGGGCTCAAAATCAATTATAGCAATGTTTTCTCATGCATATTTCTGTTTGGGAAATGACCGCAGAAAGCGGCGATGTCAATATATTATTCAAAACAAAACTTCACCCCATTTCTTTATGACCCGTTGTACGATAAGGCAACACTGATTTCAGGTGTAGTTGAGAATTGACATAACTTACAACATAAAGTATATACTTTATTATATACCTGATAAAACAACCAACTCTCTGTTATAATGGCCCAAACTGTTGCTAGTTTTAACATTTTGTTACTAATTGACATACTATCAACATCGATATAAATATGGTTTTTATGTACAAAAAGGATTACCAAAAACATCCCACAATATTGAATGCATATATAGTAATATTTTTAACATATATGTTGTACTCATGTAATATAAAATACGTATAAAGACAAATCTGATTTTCGAAAATAACGAAATCATGATAAATTATAGTTGAATTATAAGTTAATACTTCTGATAGATCACAGGATAGCGCTCTACAAAACTATGAATACCCTTTAACTGGAGGGGGGGGGGGGGAAATTTGTTAATAAAATAGCTGACATGTCATAAAAGGTCTGTAACATATGTCTTATACATACATTACATGTATTAGCTCATGATTAGGACAATCTTATTTCAGTTGTTAGTCTATGTAAAATATAGGTTTATGTTAATTAAGGATGGAATTCAGTTTAAAAATAAAGTTTTTTAATTTGAGTTGAATTGATTTGTAATTTATAAAATTATTATTATTCTTTTTCTTGTAATGATCTAAAGGCAACTAACAATTGGATTCCTGATATCTATGTATCTATAGTGCTCATTTTCATTTATTTTATACTTTTAATCTCGTATGTATTTGTTATGTTTACTTCTGAAATTTGTATGATATGCAGGTCTCCGAATAAACAACCATATACTGGAACAATCATACATGATAAACATAGTGTATATAGACACCTGATACAAACACAAATGTCAATCAAATTTGCCATTTCTCAAACGGTTTGTAGCATTGAATATCAAGCCTTTTTAGCAAGTTATATATATTTCAATGTGTTTGATCAGTTTAAATGCGGTGTGATCTTGATGTACCTTTTTTCTCGTGCCATTTATAAATAACTTCGATTCGAGAGACTGTATTATATGTTAACATCGAAATCAATGCCCCTCCGGACAATATTGACAATGCGCACATCATGGTATATTCTGATAACGTTGACGCTATTTAGAGTTATATGCTGATAGCGTTTGGAACGATGTCCGGATCTAGCCATTTGAAGGAGTATTCACGTTTTTTCTCTAGTGCTTGAACCCGCTTGCTCTGTTCGGCGAGCTCTTTCTGAAATCTGAAAAAAAAATCGATTAACAAAATGAGAGACGTTTGAGCCACACTGAATTTAAAATTGATATTTATAATATATTTTCAAAACTGTAAGGTAGCAGTATAGAGTAGTGCTCGGTGGCCATTTGTGACATGTTTTACAATAAAATTACCCCTGTAATATTACATCAAAATTAAAAAGAACACTAAAATTGGCATATACATGGTGAAGTGGACTATATAGAGGCTTCATAATTTTTCAAGAAAAAATTGCATTTTCTTTGAGAGTAAAGCTAAGGCCATTTACAAATCTGTGTATTATAACTTTTCTTGTAGTCTATTTCTGTACTCAGCACATGTGGAAATATTGTGAAATATCCGGATTGACCTTTGCCGGAGTAAACGTAATATTTCTGTTACGGAGTAGGTGATTTTTAACATAAGACAGATTTTGCATGTTTTAGTGTTATCTGATGTTGTAACCATAGTTTTCCAAAGTCCGAAATCTTGAGCACTATCTTTTAAAAAATCTATTTTCTTCAAATGTTTTTATTTACAATGTAGTTTATAAATTTATATGTGTGTGTGTGTGTGTGTGTGTGTGTGTGTGTGCGTGTAGGTGTGTTATACAGGACGAGTACGCTATCCTTTCGTATCTCAGATATGTCCTTTATTTTTTAGGATCGGGCCACTGCTATTTTATACTACTACCTAGCGTTTTCTTTTTAGCTCAAACATTTTAAGCGCAATGGTGATTTCTGATATTTTCACTGAATCATAATTGAACGCGCCAAGATATTCGAGGAAAAAGTTATTTGGTACTAACACCTATAATCGTTGGACTTATGGCAATGATACCATTTAAATATATATATACTGTAGACGCCGATGCGATGTAACGAAATGACCCCACGTAGATAGCATGTGTTGTTATTGAGAGACCATATTGAAACTTGACTTATTGTATCACTGTAAAGAACTTACAGCATTTATACTGAAGCGCAGGCTTAGTAAAACATTTTAAGGTCTTCTAATACTGATTCTAACATCTGCATTGGTCATCTCAAGGAATATTGTGAAAGAGATGAACAGTCGTATATGAGCTGAGCGAGATTACTTATCCGCATGTTATTTAAGCGCTGTACTTCAATTCGCGATTCAACGGCAACGGAAATGAACCGATACTACATTTTTCAGTGTTTTTGAAAGGACTTTCATACTCAGATTGAATCTTCTACATTGAAAGTGTATTATTGAAATGCATTCTACTTACTGTTGCAAAACTTGTTCAGCTTTTGGATCATAATTGTATTTCATCTCGTAGTCCCCAAGCTTGTTAGTGTCGTACGTGCTGAGAAGTTTAGTGATGGTTATTATCTCGAAAGTCGCAGCCTTGTTTGGAAGAGCCTCCAAGATGCAGGACTCCGTCAATGCACTCTGAAGTGGTGGTAATCATGACATCAGATTACACGATATGATGTATCACGAGTGATACGTCACTCAGAAAGCAATCTAATACTTCATGCCTTATTATTTATAATATATTTAGCTTTTACATGTACCAGTGAACACACGATTGCTTTACTTTGTACTAAAGCATGTTGCTCACAAAATTGCTAAAGATGATGAAAATGCATATGGTTTCTCGTTTCATATTTTAAAGAACCTACCAGAGAAATATTACAAATTTAAAGTAAATAAAACGTATGCCTTCTGCAAAATACCTTGTCGGTGGGTGGCTTCCCTTTCATAGTCATGGGGTAGTTTGGCGGAAAACCGTATTCGTCGTATTGTGCAAAGTTTGATGCTGCATGAGTGACACTGCCCGTGAAAATAACGCACGTCAAAATGCAAACAAGGTCTTCCTCGTTAGCTATAGTTCCTTCTCCTGGGACACCCTGTGTTCAGAAAAATGTTTCTTCATATATTTTATCGCAACTTATAGAAGAAAATAATATGTATTGGTAACAGAAAAAAAGATGTAAATGAGTATCATTTCTTTCAACACAAGATCAATAAAGGAAATCTAAATATTTACGGAGGAAAATGATATGCCCAAAACAGGAAAAGTAATCACGAACACCCACAGAAAATCCAACACAAAATCAAGGTCACCGGGAGAGAACATCATCTTGAAAATAAATACAATATAGGTGATAAAATGATTTGTAAGATCACGTACCAGCAGACCACAACCACCCTCTGACCTCGGTTTAACCAGCTCCTGTGCCCAAGCCTGGATCTCGTGATCCCCCGAGTATGTCGCGGGGCTGTCTGAGAATATTAAATAATACGTTTAGCAAAATCACTTCCAATTCAAAGTAGTTGAAAATGTCAAAACTAAAGGAACAGTAATTGATCGCGTGAACAAAGTTGTGTTTTAAATATATTTCAAAAAAAACAATTATGTGTAAAAATTATGATAAATGGTAAGTAAGCTGAAGACCATAGTTATTATTGTTATCGTTTTCAAATTCATTTATCAATTTTTTTTTTAAATAAATGATGTAATTGCAGTGCTTTATGGACACTTCTACATCAGCAGTGTATTGGATGTTAGTCGCTTACTGATCTTAGACCAAATATAAATTGAAACGTTTTCAATGGCATGGAAAACCATCATAGAGATTGATTATGACACAATTAATTGCATGGCCATACTTAAACGTTTACTATCTGTCATGTTATCTAATTGATACTTCGCATTTCTTGCAATAATAGTTACATCACAAACAATAAAGAAGTACCCCTCGTGTCTTCAGTTCCTTGGGTAGAGTTCCATCGACATCCAGCCTCCAGGTGTCCAGTCTGAGATTAAAGAAAACATACAATACCAAACACGTTCCATGTTAACAACAATGTTGCATTATCGATAGACCATCAACATTTATGCAAAATATAAATGATATGATTTTTTTGAACGCAAACAGTAATTCTAAATTATTTTGCGAGGTTTCGAAAACGTCTGTTCCCTTTGTCAAGCAAGGCATGCAAATGACCGGTGTCCTGACTCCTAACTGCTGCACACAACTCACTAAGCCTCACTGTGCCAAGTCAGTATAATACGCCGTCAGAAATAATAGAGACATTCCGCCCAAAACACCCTCATACTGCAGGCATTCAGAGGGACTGGAATATGTTTACACATTCTGTCCCTTCGTGGATGTTCAAATGGGACCATAAAGAGAACTCAACCGGTGCCCGCGTGTCGCCTCCCCCTCGTAGCTATTCGTTTATTCTTCTTCCTTCCTTACCCATATGGATTCTTATAGGAGAAAGCCTAGTAAGTTGTAAGAACTTGTGCCCATTCCCTTTCACTATTCAGTGTCAATAAAATATGGTTGAATGATTGATTCTTTGATGTTCTTATATACCGCTTAATCACAACCTAGTTCGTAGGTCGTCTCAAAGCGGTTCACAAATTATTATCCGGATTATAGGGCCTTTGCACCCAGCCAATATTATTCTCAACTTCAAAGGGGAGCATACAGCCGAGGCTCACAGCTATAATTGTAGCACTGCCCAACCACGTACTCATTTACAGTTGAGTAGAATGGAACAAGCGGAGTTAAGTATATTGCTCAAAAAAATAAAACACAGTGCCGTGACGTGACTCGAACCCGCAACCCGCAAACATGACGTTTATAAACGGACATGACATCATAATACATTCATCAATTTCACACCAAAAACCCTTAAAAATAATTCCATACTTTGGCTATTATTATCATCATTTTTACCGGGTATGTTACGAGATACTTACTTTCTTTTGATAAGTTCAAACACGCCATCAATACCTATGGCCATCGCATTTTGAACCCAGCCATCCGAATTGATCAGAGTTGTCAGTGCTAATCTGTTGATGATAATATTAACTCAAGTATTACGATGATACCAGGAAACAAAGTTTAGATGTATAATAATAATTAAATACTTCTGCCATCATACACAGCGTAGATACATATTTGTACGTTTTGATAAAACCTATATGTCTAATAGAGTTGTCTGTAACATGCACATTGTATAACAAAATTATAGCTCTTATGTTACAATACATCAATGTGAGAGGGCGTATTAATCTATGTCCGACTTTTTTTGTTCATACAAACATGCCAAATAGGGAACCTTCTTACGACGAAATAGTTGTGGATTTATCTAAATCTAGAGTTTAACATAATACTGATATACTGATATTTTCAAGCTTTTCAAAACCCCAAAAACCGGTGTAGAAGAACAACAAAATGTTATTATTTACCCGTTAATAGCGATGAGATAGAGAAAGCGTGGCGCCAGTAATTTGAAAATGGGATGGGATTGAGAAAGGTTCCTGTGAGTGGCCAGAGCACATCCTTCCATCAACAGGTGAGTGAACCCTGATAACAAACATTATGCCGATTAGTTTTGCACACCTACCTGTCTATTCCAGTGTTATTCATCTCTGTGTAGTTTTTCATTGTCAATATATACAAAATATATATAACATGTGCTTATTTATTTTCCTACACTGTAAGATTTATAAAGTAGCCGGTTAATGCCATTTGAAATTGTTTTATCTTGTAATTATCATACACCAGTTCCGAAGCAGCAATTTTGAGAAAGGTATCTCGTTATAACTAGGGAGTTAAAAAAAACTTCATAATCAATGACCTGCTTTCATAAATCAGGGATATATGCATTATTGCTTTGTGTAATATATTTAGTGTTCACTGATAAAAACATCGTTATAATAACCTAGCAGTCAATCATTGAGTATTGTATAATCTAGATTGATTATTCGATTTACTGTCTCATATAGAGCATGCTTCTGTGTATTACATATACTGACTTAATCCTTCGTGTGATATCGTAAGATGATGATCATTGAGTTACCTAAGTGAGTGTTTGACTCGTGATAGGAAGCATTTGCAAGGTTAAATAACATTTTCGCCGCCAGCCAGGTATATTTTGGATCAGAGGGAAGGAACACCTATCGATAAAAAAGGAGAATGTTTATCATCACAATACACAAACTACAAATATTTCAACAAAAAAGAACTAGAACCCGTATTTGAAGTTTGCAGCAGGTTAATTTTAGGGTTTGGGTGTTAATAGGATATTGTTAAACCTTGCCATATCTTAGTAAGCTTCATATCATTTCACTAGGTTGGAGACCACATAATAAACTTATTTCATGGCTATGTTTGGAAATTGGAAAAAAAAAAATACTTTTTCTTGAATCTTTGCATGCCATGCAATAAAGCACAACTCATTTTCGATATCCAGGGGTTACGCTCACTTTCGCTCTATACACCCATGGAATATGTCTTAGCAAAATTGAAGGCACGCGGCTAGCTATTTGATTGGTGTCGGGTAAACAAACTGTATAATCACTAGGCTGATACTTTTCCTATGAAGACTATAAAGGAGCGACGTCCGACTCCAAAGCCGGTCATTTTTTACTGTTAGGCGACCGCGAGATTCTTTTGATGTACATCAAAGGACTAAACTAGTCTTCTCGTCTTATTCACAAGATGCTGCACATTGTGCCTTCGATTTTGCTATGACATATTCCAGGGGTGCAGAGAGCGTAAGTGAGCGTAACCCCTGGATATCGAGGATGGGCACAACTTGACAATGCCTCTTATAAACCTCTTGTAAAAACAAAAGAAATCCTTTTAAAGCTATGTTGCGTGATTAATTTCATAACGAATGTAGTAGATTTTGACTTTTTTTTTACTCTCACTGGATTGTCGTCCGCGGGTTGCTGCTTCAATTGTATCGCTATAGGAACCAAGCGAGACTTTTTGTTGTGGTAGAATAAGGCGATCGGGGCACAAACCTATATCAATATAAAAAAGGCTCATGATTTCAAACGATTGTTAACCACAGTGTCAAAAATACAACTTTTAAATCGGAATGGCTACAAGATACAAGAAATAACAACAGGAACACGAGGATATATATAACCAAACTGATCATCATCATGATCCAACTCAAAAAACTATTAAAATAATTTATAAAGAAACTGTGTTGCCATCATTTCAAATAAGAATAATGCAATAGTTGATTACTAGCATCTATGCACATCTCGTTCAATGTGCACCACACTTACTGTTAATCCACTTTTTACGGGTATTCCGTCCACAATGGCGAGATCGACATAAAACAGCTTCTTCTTGGAGATGACATCTGGCAGTGTAGATCCTTCTAAGAAGGGTTTAAGCATTTCTGCAGTCACAGCAAGTCTGGGGTGATAATGCTTATAATGTATCACTGTTTAATATTTTTAGTTTTTTGAATGAATAGAAATAAAGCATTATGACAAATACACCAAATGAATCCGATATAAACATGGTATACAATTTTTAAAGTAAACAGCTTATGTCATGTTTCTTTAAATTTAATTCATCGAATAACTACATAAATAAGATAACTGTACTTGTTTGGGATCTCTGTACAGAGTGTGATTAGTGAATTGTTGATCCGACCAATCCGCTGGAATCCAAAATGTTCGTCTGTATCCCACATACCATCCGCCAGAGGCTGTGGAATCATAAAGAATTGAAGGTATTAATACAAAGGGATACATCTCGAAATAACTTTTCGAAGTTTCCTATGTTTCCAAAAGTCATGTAAAGTTACAAAGTGTAGAAAAAACATCTCTGATATATTTTTGTATAAACTCTAAAATGGATCTTTGTGATTAACTTAGAGAGGAATGCGATATAACCAGGAGGTATCAATAAGTACTAACCGAAGGCTTAGAAAATACATCTGACTTATAGATGTTTCCAAGGTCCTCTAGGCTGTCCCAGTCACCACTCACAACCTTCACGATTTTGCCTTTAATTGTAATATCTGCAGCAAGCTTCACCAGATCAAACTACAATTGAATTGTTCAGCTTTACTTTCAAATGACCATTACAGCACGAGTCCTTAGCACATTATACAGTCATATTACACTTCTCTTTTAAATGATGTTAAATCTTTTGTTAACGTTTTATATCTCACTTGACAGCAAGAGTGAAATTATTAAAGCCGATATGACTGTTAAGATCGTTGGAGTTTTAGTATACATTTATACTTAATTTGCACTTAATGTAACTATACATAGTCCATACACAGATTATTTTACACGTTGTTGTGTGAGACTAATAGTAAGTATGTTTGGATTGACATTATCGAGATGATCAGACTATTGACCGATACATTTTTTGTTGAATTAGGTAGAAAAATATTTCAACCGAAGGTTTGTATTTCAATGGGAACTAACTGTGCACCCCTTCAAGCTCATCTGGTTTTATTTATTGTTTTCAGTAAAGTAAAATGTATCCAAGGGTTATCAAATAATTAAGATAAAGAGCTTTACCTATTTTTTTAATATATTTAGATATTCTAAAGGTGCTCTATCCTTAAAAAACACTATACTGATCTTCTAAAACATGAAGTCAAAGATATGGTAAACTCCTTTTACATCTTCTTCATGTCTTAACATTCACCTACAGTGAGCTTATAAAGTGCACTTTGCTACAAAAATAAAAAAAAATGACGATTTTAAAACAACAACATAAAAGTTTTATCTCAAAATACGAAACTAATTCCCGTTTATAAACTAGTCGGCGTAGTCTGTGGGGGGGGGGGGGGGTGGGGGGAATAATTTTTCGTTGAAGAATTGTTCTGTCGCCATCTCTTACTGAATACAGCGTATATTATATTAAAGTCATGATATAATAATGATGCATAATAGACATTACATTTCAATACAACTGTTGTTAAACTTTGTCTTACCTTTACCTGGTAGTCAGAGGAAAACTTTTCATCATCTGGTACTTCTGTCGCCTGAAAGATAATTTTGATTTGTATTAATTGGTACTACTTAAAAACAAGGTTTACATGTTCTTTTAAATACAATTCAACAATTAATTGCATTTCTAGAATTTGTTGAGTTGTGATAGACAGTTTGGACGCTAACGGCATTGCTAGACGATTCTCATGCAAACTAACTTATTTGTTTGAAAACAATAATATCTGACAGTTCTAAAATCTCCTTTTTATATTCTTAAATTAAGCGGGGATGCACAACTTTATATTTACTCCCCTTTTACTCGCAATACCCAATACATCTCTCATACTATTCAATTATCGAACATCAAGCATGCATGCACATGCACGCACATACTCACATCTTTAGTCTCACTTATCTTTATATCTCTCAACCCATATATCTCTTATTCCTCATAATTATATCTTTCAGTCGAGTAAAATTACACCGCTATCACAACGCAATTACCAGTGGCTACATACATGAATGTTTTCATGCTCAAGTATGCACTAACATTTTCAAGATGATTTTTTTATCCCATTTGTAGATAGACTAATGGAGCGTACAATTCTGCATTCGTACATGCAAATATTTATCTTACTCTTACTTACATACAGGAAAGTACTAAAGACTCGTTGTTGAGAATTTTTCTTTTTATAATATATATATATATACATACATATCATATGCCAGTTTGTATGGTTGGGCTGGATGTTTTTCTGTCATTGTAAATTGGCTACTTGAACGGCTTAAAAAACGGTATGAATAAAGTTTAATCATCTACTGAAAATTGATCAAAGGAGTGATACCATAGACCTAAATATTGCGGTCCGTTTGCTTAAAAAGCATCCATCAATCGGATTTAAACTAAACGTTTCAGCAGTTTTTGCTGCACAACATAACGACAAATAAATAATGTACAGATAGGCTATGCAAATTGCATAGCTCAGATGCTAAAGAAGCGTTTGCGCTGTTGATGCTTGATAAGGCGTGATGTTGACCTTTTGTTCCGTGTGGTTCAAATGAATATATAATCTGTATTCATTGTTTTCCGTTGACAGTAATATAAGCTCATACAAATACAGCACACGTAGTACCTTCTTCAAAAAAAGGATAGGCAAGTAAGGCAGGGACATTGTGTCATCTGGATTTTATTGCTTTTGATCGAAACGGTGTTATTATACTTAACATTTTGTTCCCTTGGTTTCCTAACGGCGAACACATTCTCAAGGCCATACAAACGAGGTGCAATACCTATTCAACTTAATGCTATATTTCTTTTTGAAATAAAGTCAAATATTTATCCTCATATTCTGCAGCAAGTTTGTTAATGACTAATAATCTACAATTCAAACTGATTTTCAACACAAGATACGGGTTATAGTTGCATTCTATTTTTATTTCAATATCTCATAAAGATCAACTGCCATGTTCAAGAAACCAATTCGTGGTGGTTTAACATGATATATCATAATATATTGTTGTGTGTATTTTTTTATCAACGGTACTTAACAACATTGCTTTAATAGGAAAGTTTCTTAATAGTTTTCATCTTCCTTTTAAAAACCATCT